ACTCCCGGGCTGGAGAGGGCGCTCCGAGGACGGTGGACCACGCGGTGATCGGGGGGGTCGTGGCCGTGGTGGTGTTCGCCATGCTCTGTCTACTCATCGTGCTGGGACGCTACTTTGCAAGACACAAAGGTACTGAGCCGGAAATATATTTATATATATCAGCTTCATAAAGAAGGCTTTTATTAAAGTACAGCTGCATGGGGAGGATTAGTGTTCACAGCAAATAAAAGTATGGACAGTAGCTGGGAAAGCTAGCGTATACAGTAAAACAGCAACAACTTGACTCAATAACATAGATGAACTGCACTAAACGACCAGCCAAAAACAAACCATACTATTGCAGACCGTAATACCGTATTTATAGAAATCTGCAGGTTCTACTCTGCCTGTCCTCGAATGAAGACGTGATTTCCTGCTTGATTTACCCAAGTTATCTTTTGTGAAACTGAAATACAGGAACAAAACATAAACGTATAGATTGTTATGAGTTTTACTGTTGTTGTTGTTGTAACATTATCACTGTACACAAAATAAACACACAAACAGTAGATCTCCCAGCATCGCATTCAGCTGACTGAATGTATAAACAAATATACAAACAAACGCTTGAATTCAATAATGATGGCAAACTTTAAGAACAGCTACTCAAAGCAAAGAAAGGAAATGTGAACTTATGCTTGTATAAATGGAAACAACTGCTTTAACACATTGTTAAATGGTGTTAAATGAATTTCTTGAAGCATTTAGTACCTATTGAAATGCTCAGGAATATTCCCTTTACCTGAAAGTATTTTATGAATAAAAGCACATATTGAATAACTGTCAATGTATACGATTCAGAAGAACTACTCCGCAGCGTACCTCTTATGCTGCGTTCACACCGGACGCGATGCGATGTTTGGGGGCGGCGAGATTACATGTAAAGTCAATGCACAGATGCGGACAGACGCGAATTCGCTCCGACGGCGAGCATGAAGCGGTGGACGCGGCGCGAATCACGCGATTGAGGCGATTGAACGGTGCTGCGAGAGTTCAATTGTTTCAACTCGAGCGTCAAATTCACGTGACGCGTTCTCGCGGAAGCCAATCAGCGATGAGGATCTCAGCCTGCCGTCACTGACGTTCAACCAGAAAACATTAGCAGTTAGCTGTTAGCACTCAGAGCTCACAGCTCCTTATATCTGTTCAGAAACTGGACACAAGTTAAACAAGAACAAACCACAGACTGCCTGTGTCATGGTGAATACAGTCGCTGGTTTATTTATGACTATAGGCCGTTGTTATGAGTGTGGAGTGAGCATATACAACGTTAGCTTAGCCTGGTCGACCCAATCTCCATTCAGAAAACAAGCATTTTAAAAGGTTCTTCGCCTGCCGTCTGTCTGCAGACTTGTCAAGCATTAATTCATGGTTTTTACTAACCGGTATCAGTATGTTGTTACTTCGGCATGATTTAGATTTACAATTTAATCACGGTAAAATATGTTCATTTTGTTGTAGTTGTAGCTCCCGAGCCAGCACGTCTTGTTTGAATGATGCGAGTAAACACAGCTGGCAGCCGCGGTGAAACTCGAGCGATTAGAGCAAAGCGATAGGAGCGTTTAGAGCGAAGCGAATATTCGCATCGCGTCCGGTGTGAACGCAGCATTAAACACAGATTGTTCCTATAAAGTTTATTAGCTGTAGCCGCTTTACTTTGGAAAAATATATTGAAAAACCTTCGACCACATCCTTTACTAATAACAGAGAGGCTTTTGATAAAGCTCCGGGTTACTGCTGGTGAGTGAAATTACACGCCGTCCTGCTGAATACATAACACCATCTGTATGCTGTCCTCATAACACAGAAATGATTATAATCTATAACAAATGTCACACTTTGATATTTCTTACACGGGAAGGAAATGGCTCGGATGCATGCGGCGCTTTGCAGAGGAAGCACTGTAAATGAGGCCATTTAAAGGTGTGGGAGACTTTATTTGATGGTGATTCTGGAGTCAGATGATCAGAAAGAAGACGGGCGGCTCTGAAAAACACTGCGTTAAACTGGAATAAGGCTCATTATCTACAGCAGTCTGTGTGAAAGCTGCACAAAGCTTTATTTATAACTGAACGCACTTTCTTCACAAGTTCAACATCCAACGCACGGCCATTTAATGCAGTACATACACCAGATTAACCACAGAAAAAACATTATAATAATACAAATTAAATAATAATGATAGCAGGGTGTCCGTAGGGTCTTAAAAAGAAAATTAAGGCTATTAAAAAGTATTAAACTGCATTTTCCAAGGTATTACATTTTGTAGCTTGTTTTCAATAAGTATTGTAACAGGACTGGGCAGATAAAGAGAAAAGTGGTAGTGCAGCAATCACGACAGAGGCATTGTTCAAGTCCAAAAAAGAGGCTTTATTGCTGTTAAACTCAAAAATACCTTTAACTATACAAAGGCTAACGTAGCCGGGCCGCTAACCCCTTCAGTTCTGGCCGAGGAGAGGTGACCATGGTCCACAGGGCATCTCTACGGGACAGGGCATCTGCATTCCCATGCTTGGCTCCGGCTCATAGAGAAGTTAAACTCTTGTAGTGAGACAAACCACCTTCCTACTTTAGTGTCTTTTGTATTTGCCATCCAGATCAGTGGGGCATGATCAGTTATCAGAGTGAAGTGACGTCCCAAGAGGTAATACCGGAGGCGCTCAAGCGCCCATTTCATTGCTAGGCCTTCTTTCTCAACAGTAGCATACCCTTGTTCCCTTGTGTTCAGCTTCCGGCTGATGTACATGACGGGGTGTTCCTCACCGTGAACCTCCTGGGATAGTACTGCTCCTATGCCCACCTCTGACGCATCCGTCTGCACAATCATCCCCCGGCTGAAGTCTGGGGTCAAGAGAGCCCTCTTAAGTCCCTCCAAGGCGTGTTAAGCCTCTCCTGTCCACTTGACCATTAGCGGCTATGAGTCTCTGGTCAGGTCTGTAAGGGGAGAGGCTACTGTGGAGAAGTTTGGGATGAAACGGCAATAGTAGGACGTCAGACCCAAGAAGGTTTTCACCTGTTTCTTTGTTGACGGCCGTGGCCAGTCCTGGATCGCCTGAACCTTCCTATCTTGTGGTCTAACGTTGCCCCGCCCAATGGTGAAGCCCAGGTATTCGGCTTCCTCCAGTCCAAGCTTGCATTTTCTTGGATTGGCTGTCAAGCCCGCCCTGCAGAGAGATTCCAGCACTGCTGCAAGCCTTATGAGATGGCTATCCCATGAGTCACTGTGGATAACAACGTCATCCAAATAGGCAGCTGCATACTCACGATGTGGCCTCAGGACCTTGTCCATCAGTCTCTGGAACGTGGCTGGTGCTCCATGAAGCCCGAAGGGAAGCACAGTATACTGGTACATCCCTGTGGGGGTGGCGAAGGCCGTCTTCTCTCTTGAGGCTGCTTCAAGTGGGACCTGCCAATACCCTTTCGTCAAGTCCAGAGTGCTGATATACCTGGCTTCCCCAAGCCGATCAATTAGCTCATCTATCCTGGGCATAGGATACGCATCAAACTTGGAGATTTCATTCAATTTTCTGAAATCATTACAGAACCTGTTGGTTTTGTCTGGCTTAGGAACCAGAACGACAGGGCTGGTCCACTCACTGTGAGATTCTTCAATCACCCCCATAGCCAGCATTTTCTGTACTTCTTGCTCAATGGCCGCCCGTCTTGCCTCCGGCACCCGGTAGGGCCGCATCTTTACCTTTTGGCCAGGCTCTGTGTGGATTTGATGTTCCACCATCGTTGTGCGTCCAGGTCGTAGTGAGAACACATCCAAACTCTGCTGAACCAGTTCCTTGGTTTGCTGTAACTGAGCTTTGGACAGCCCTGGACCGTATTCAACTTCGGCCACCTCATGGTCTGGAGAAGAGGGGGACACAACCGGGGAACCACAACACAGCAGTGCCTCTCGGGCGTACCATTTCTTTAACATGGTATATTTGGGATGGTTTGCGACGGCCAGGTTGGCGTACCTTGTAGTTGACTGGTCCCACCTTCTCTGCCACTTCATAGGGACCTTGCCATGATGCCAGGAATCTGTGTTCTGTGGTGGGGACCAGGAGAAGCACTTTATCCCCGGGCAGGAACTCACGCGGTTAGGCATCTCTGTTATACACTTTCCTCTGGGCTTCTTGGGCTTGAGCCATGTGCTCTCTGACCATGGGCCAAACATCTTTCATATGCGTCTGCATCGTCTCTACATGCTCAATCAGGCTCCGATGGGGGCTTGGTTGCTCCTCCCAGGCTTCCTTTGCGATGTCGAGAAGTCCTCTGGGCTGTCGGCCATACAGCAGCTCGAAGGGGGAGAACCGGTTGAAGCCTGTGGAACTTCCTTGATTGAAAACAGGACATAGGGCAGAAGCTGGTCCCAGTTACGACCATCCTTGTCAACAACCTTCTTTAACATGGATTTCAACGTCTTGTTAAAGCGTTCTACCAATCCGTCTGTCTGAGGATGGTAGACAGATGAACGAAACTGCTTTACCTTGAAGAGCCTGCAGAGATCCTTCATTAGCTTGGACATGAAGGGAGTGCCTTGGTCTGTTAGCATCTCTTTAGGAATCCCAACTCGGCTGAACAGGTGAAGCAGCTCCTGTGCAATCACTCTCGTTGTCATGTTCCTCAAGGGAATGGCCTCCAGGTACCTGGACACATATTGTTTTGGGACAACCAACAAGTCTCTTCGCTGACCTTCAACCTCTTTGGCATAATATAACAGATTATTTTTCATTAGGAAATGAGGACATGTAAGCTCACCTACTCCTGGAACTGGTTTTCCCTCTATTTCCGTAACATTGCTGCGTGCATGCAGCAGATTGGGGTCTTCCATCTGGGCGGTCCCGAACTGGCCCTTCAAACTTGGAAGCAATGCGACTTCACCCTCCTCATCACCTGTGCTTAGGTCTCCCGGGAAAGTAACAAAAGGGTTATCATTTGCCTCGTCTGCACTGGAAGATTGGTTGCCTCTGTGCTCCTCCGGCACAGCACACACAACTTTGGGGGACTGCTGAGGAGACATACCCTGGGTGGCAATTTGTCCTTTCTCTTGCTTTCCTTTGGCACGTTTGGGCTTTTTGGTACTCACCTCCTTCTGGTGCCGCAGGCGCTTGTATAGTGGGCAGTCTCGCCCCACCAAGACTGGGACTGGTAGGGAAGGAACCACCCTCACTTCCAGCTCACAGCTGCCTTTAACTGTGGTAAGGTGGATGAGGCAAGTGGGGTATAATTGAGTGTCCCCATGGACACAGGAGACGGGCACAGTCTCTTCAGATGGCAAATGGTCGAGGAGGTGGGGTTGAATGAGGGACACCACACTTCCTGAGTCCACTAGCGCCTCTGCATCTTTTCCATTTACCTTGACTGGTATCATTTGAGCCAGGGAGCGTTCCTGTACCCAGCAAGAGTCAAGAAGGTGGCAGGGCCTTGCACCAGATGAGTTGGCGGTCGGCATTAGCTCATCCTTCCCTGGGCAGTCCTGGGCAATGTGGCCTGTCTCCCCATGTATGCACAGCAGCTACACAGGGGCGCACCTTGTGAACAGGCAAGGCAGGCAACAGTTTGGGGCCCCGGACCAGAAGGGGGCCCCCAGAGAAGGTAGATTAAGAAGGGCCACAGCAATGACAACATGAAACACCCTTTCATTTACTGCAACGACATGTCGGGAAACCCCCTCTAGGTGGCCCCATGCATAGCGCGCCGTGAAATGCTACTTCTCATCTTAAGTTTCGTTAAGATGAGGGGGGGGGGGGGGGGGGGTGATGAAACGCTGGTTCGAGGGGCCCCCAGTGAATGTTTGCCTAGGGCCCCCACCGACTCTAGGATCACCACTGCAGCTACAGTGTAGAAATGGCAATGCAACATAGTTATATAAGACATTAAACCATAAAACATGTAAAAATAGTGCACAAAGAAACAGAGTAGAATAGAATAGTGCAGATTATGTTTGAGACCATCTGCCATCGTTGCCATTTCTACATTCCTAATGTAAGAGCCTTTGAATCTTTAAATCTTGAATATATATATAAACGATTCTGAAAAGGGCCATCATTACGATATTATATTTTGTATTGGCTAATAATCTGTAAACTAACAGATACATGAAGTAAGAAGTATAATAGCTAAAGGATGATTGCAGTTAAACAAATGTAGAGATTTTTAAAAGTAGAATGAAACAAAACCTTGAAAAGTAGTAAGACATTTTATTTCTTACAGTCAGATCCCAGGTCAGCAGCACCTTGTTTCCATCTATTCAAAGGATCTTTTGTAGGTTTTAAAATATCTATTTGAAGTGCCCTTCCTCCTTCGATCAGGAATATTGCCTTTGTTATCAACCTTGAAGCATTTAGTACCTATTGAAATGCTCAGGAATATTCCCTTTACCTGAAAGGGATTTTATGAATAAAAGCACATATTGAATAACTGTCAATGTATACGATTCAGAAGAACTACTCCGCAGCGTACCTCTTATGCTGCGTTCACACCGGACGCGATGCGATGTTTGGGGGCGGCGAGATTACATGTAAAGTCAATGCAGAGACGCGGACAGACGCGAATTCGCTCCGACGGCGAGCATGAAGCGGTGGACGCGGCGCGAATCACGCGATTGAGGCGATTGAACGGTGCCGCGAGAGTTCAATTGTTTCAACTCGAGCGTCAAATTCACGTGGCGCGTTCTCGCGGAAGCCAATCAGCGGTGAGGATCTCAGCCTGCCGTCACTGACGTTCAACCAGAAAACATCAGCCGTTAGCAGTTAGCTGTTAGCACACAGAGATCACAGCTCCTCATATCTGTTCAGAAACTGGACAAAAGTTAAACAAGTACAAACCACAGACTGCCTGTGTCATGGCGAATACAGTCGCTGGTTTATTTATGTCTGTAGGCCGTCGTTATGAGTGTGGAGTGAGCACATACAACGTTAGCTTAGCCTGGTCGACCCGATCTTCATTCAGAAAACAAGCATTTTAAAAGGTTTTTCTCCTGCCGTCTGTCTGCAGACTTGTCAAAGCATTAATTCATGGTTTTTACTAACCGGTATCAGTATGTTGTTACGTCGGCATGATTTAGAAACGTGTATTACAATTTAATCACGGTAAAATATGTTCATTTTGTTGTAGTTGTAGCTCCCGAGGCAGCACGTCTTGTTTGAATGATGCGAGTAAACACAGCTGGCAGCCGCGGTGAAACTCGAGCGATTAGAGCAAAGCGATAGGAGCGTTTAGAGCGAAGCGAATATTCGTAAGAGCCTTTGAATCTTTAAATCTTGAATATATATATAAACGATTCTGAAAAGGGCCATCATTACGATATTATATTTTGTATTGGCTAATAATCTGTAAACTAACAGATACATGAAGTAAGAAGTATAATAGCTAAAGGATGATTGCAGTTAAACAAATGTAGAGATTTTTAAAAGTAGAATGAAACAAAACCTTGAAAAGTAGTAAGACATTTTATTTCTTACAGTCAGATCCCAGGTCAGCAGCACCTTGTTTCCATCTATTCAAAGGATCTTTTGTAGGTTTTAAAATATCTATTTGAAGTGCCCTTCCTCCTTCGATCAGGAATATTGCCTTTGTTATCAACCTCCGCTGCGACACAATATGAATACATCTGGTGAATTAAGTTTGAAGGAGCACGCTGCCTCCTTTTCTCTCCTCCTCTGAACTTGACAAGGTTAATTTGGAGGTGTGAGACACACTCAAGACCATTTCAGAACCCGTGCCAATTTGAATGAAAGGAGGATGTATAATCTGAATATTACAGCGGGCTAGTTTCTGTTAAATAAAATGGCCGTGTGTCGAAGGATTTACATAATTAGGTGCTGTGGGATGAAGAGGTCTAATCTTTTGTATCATCTACACAGTAGGTTATTACAAGAGAGTAATGGATTACATGTAACAGGTAATCAGGATACAAGACGACTGTATTCCCTTAAAGTTACATTAATAAATTATGGTTTCTGTTACATTTCTAAACATTGGAATTCCTAGCAGGATTACAATGTTAGTTAAAAACTAAAAAGAGCATTTTTTATGTAGTGTCTCTACTTTAAAGAGTCCTCTCCTGCTGATGTTCAGGTGTATCAGTATGTAGTGTCTCTACTTTAAAGAGTCCTCTCCTGCTGATGTTCAGGTGTATATCAGTATGTAGTGTCTCTACTTTAAAGAGTCCTCTCCTGCTGATGTTCAGGTGTATATCAGTATGTAGTGTCTCTACTTTAAAGAGTCCTCTCCTGCTGATGTTCAGGTGTATATCAGTATGTAGTGTCTCTACTTTAAAGAGTCCTCTCCTGCTGATGTTCAGGTGTATATCAGTATGTAGTGTCTCTACTTTAAAGAGTCCTCTCCTGCTGATGTTCAGGTGTATATCAGTATGTAGTGTCTCTACTTTAAAGAGTCCTCTCCTGCTGATGTTCAGGTGTATATCAGTATGTAGTGTCTCTACTTTAAAGAGTCCTCTCCTGCTGATGTTCAGGTGTATATCAGTATGTAGTGTCTCTACTTTAAAGAGTCCTCTCCTGCTGATGTTCAGGTGTATATCAGTATGTAGTGTCTCTACTTTAAAGAGTTCTCTCCTGCTGATGTTCAGGTGTATATCAGTATGTAGTGTCTCTACTTTAAAGAGTCCTCTCCTGCTGATGTTCAGGTGTGTATCATTATGTAGTGTCTCTACTTTAAAGAGTCCTCTCCTGCTGATGTTCAGGTGTATATCAGTATGTAGTGTCTCTACTTTAAAGAGTCCTCTCCTGCTGATGTCCAGGTGTATATCAGTATGTAGTGTCTCTACTTTAAAGAGTCCTCTCCTGCTGATGTCCAGGTGTATATCAGTATGTATTGTCTCTACTTTAAAGAGTCCTCTCCTGCTGATGTTTAGGTGTATATCAGTATGTAGTGTCTCTACTTTAAAGAGTCCTCTCCTGCTGATGTTCAGGTGTATATCAGTATGTAGTGTCTCTACTTTAAAGAGTCCTCTCCTGCTGATATTCAGGTGTATATCAGTATGTAGTGTCTCTACTTTAAAGAGTCCTCTCCTGCTGATGTTCAGGTGTATATCAGTATGTAGTGTCTCTACTTTAAAGAGTTCTCTCCTGCTGATGTTCAGGTGTATATCAGTATGTAGTGTCTCTACTTTAAAGAGTCCTCTCCTGCTGATGTTCAGGTGTATATCAGTATGTAGTGTATGTACTTTAAAGAGTCCTCTCCTGCTGATGTTCAGGTGTATATCAGTATGTAGTGTCTCTACTTTAAAGAGTCCTCTCCTGCTGATGTTCAGGTGTATATCAGTATGTAGTGTCTCTACTTTAAAGAGTCCTCTCCTGCTGATGTTCAGGTGTATATCAGTATGTAGGGTTTCTACTTTAAAGAGTCCTTGTGGGGGAGAGAAACTCCCTCTGGAGGCAACACAGGGATTTTAGCCTTTGCAGACCATTTCAATGCACTGAAACTACAAGAGAGGGAAAATTACAAAAACAGAATAGGGTCTCTTTGAGTAAAATAATCAGATTACATTACGTCTATATTGGGATACATTTTTTCACAGGTAACTAGTTGTAGGGGAATACAATTGTAAAGTAACCCTCCGAACATACATGTGTGCATATGTATAAATGTGTCTGTTGATTGTGTATATAGGATATAAATATTTTTATACATATTTTTATATATATTTGTTTTTGTATTGTGGGAAACGGTATTTCGATCTCTGTCTGTACACACAAACTGAAAGATTGAAAATAAAGTTGACTTTGAACCCTGGATATTACCCAGTCACTGACGCTGTCCTTCTTCTTCCTCCTCTTCCTCCTCTTCCTCTTCCTCCTCTTCTTCAGGTACCTACTTCACACATGAAGCCAAAGGAGCAGACGACGCCGCGGACGCAGACACAGCCATCATCAACGCAGAGGGGGGGCACACCAACTCAGACGAAAAGAAAGAATACTACATCTAAAGAGGACCCCAACCCTCAGTGCAGCGCCCGCTTTATGGAGCTGTTTCTGGGGCAAGAGGTGGAGGGAAAGAAGGGTGGAGATGGAGGTGGAGTTTGTTCAGGATAGAGGGGTTTCAAAGAGAGAAAGAAGGCCTGGTTTCAAACCGTTGTTTAGTCTAGTCTGCAGATGTAGATGGAATGTTTTGTGTGTAAAAAAAAAAAAAAAATCAAAAAGGACAAAAAATGGGAGTAGGGTATTTTTCGGAGGCGGAGTTGGAGGAAGGGGTTTTGGGGGGATTTGGCGTGCATTGCCAGAAAAATCACTGTAGAGAGCTTCACCATTCGACACCTCCCTAACTGCTGGTACGAATTTTATTTAGTTCAACCATTTGCAGAAAATTCTGTGCCTTGTTCTATCCATACTTTGGATTTGTGTTCGATCCTCATTTCCCCCGTGTCATCTCCTCATCGATGTGCTGTTGGCTTTTTGTATGAGAGTAAAAATTACACAGCCACTTTATTCATTTCCCCCCTAAATGTGTCCGCACTCACACACTGCAAAACTCTTTCCAGTATACTGTGATTTGTCTCAAGCCATTGCTCCCTTCTCTCGTTATTTAAGTTTCGACAGCTCCAGAAATGCATGGAATGCTTCACATATCATTGTACAAAGAACATAATGAGAAACAGGTTTCGTGTACTGGATATTCTCGCCCTGAACACACTCAAAACATAATCAAAAAGAAGGCAGCGAAGGATAATACGAAATGATTGTCATTGGTGTTTGCAACCTCAGAGGAGATCTCTTAAATAATCCTTTTGAAGAGAATATTTTCCTCACCGTGCTGCCATTTCAATATTTTTATTTCCTCCTCTCTTTTAGTCTATGATCTGTTTTCGCACCAGCTTTAATTGAGTTGTGATGATGAGATTCAATTGATTTCCATCTGCTCTTGCAAATGGTTTTGAAATTGTTTTTCTTGGCACACTCTCAGTCAAGATGGCTCAGTAATACGGAAAAATTGGTGTTAAAATTGTCCAAAAGATGTATTGTACATAACTTTAACACACAAAAATAACTGAAACGGCAAATGAATTTATTTTAGGAAGCTTCACAAAACATCCTCCCTACACAGAATCCAATGTAAATCAAGCCAATGGAATCACAGCTGTATATTACACTAATCCTTACTAAGAAATATTTTTTACTAGAATTACAATGTGTGGATTTCATCTTGTCACACTCATTGTGTTTGGGAGAGTTCATGTCTTCACACTGAAGAGACAGGCCAGTCTTTCCACTTCCATCTCAACATACATTTTGCTTTAAATGCAGCAGCTTGAGTCACGGTTGATCGTTTTCTGCATGTTTCTACGTGCTAAAACTCGTTTATTTTTGCTTCTCTATCTACGTATCACCTGCCAGAAGTGAATACGGTTCTGTTAGTGCTGCAGATAATTGAATATACCAAGGAAATCCTTCAAAAGTGGATACAAGTAGTAAAATTGGCCACTCAAAAATCCAAGATGGCGGCATTTTCAAGATGGCTGCCAATGATGGCTTGGAAACGTCATTTTTTTTTTAACATAAAATCACTTTCACTTGCCCTGTATTAAGGATCTTGGTCTCAAATCATAACATTTTGATCACAAAGGAACCAAATTCAGACGTCATGAATTATACAAAAGTTTATTTTTACCATTTCTAAGCCATAACATCAACGTAATCTGCCAATGGAAAACTGAGTAGCCCAACATGCGTGGTAGTGGAGATGGTTGAGGTATTTTTGCGTGTAGAAGTGTAGTAGTAGGCCTACTGGTGACATATTGGTGTTCATTGTGCGCTAACTAGTTTTGCTAACATAAAATACTGGTATTAGTGTGGTTTAGTGTCGCAGATGCTTTCTAATAAGCCCCACATTTTAACATAATGAATATAAAATGACAGAAAAAAGCTCTGAAGAAGTTTTTTATTAGTGAATTTGACTCCCCTATTGGCAATAACATATCATTCAATCCCAAAATCACCAAAAGGTATCCAGTTCACTTGGCTGGATATGGCGGCCATCTTGGAAAACGGTCGCAACTTTGAAAATTCAAGTGGCTTTTTTAAATGAACGACCCCAGAGGGATGAAAATTGACATGTTGGAGCTTGTATCCACTTCTGAGAGATTGTTACAGCTATCTGCAGCACTATGTGTTTCTCTGGAGCACTGAGGAATGCAAAAAGTAATTAATTATTTTGAGGGAAATGAATACACAGGTTGTGCTCCGAGGTCGTAAACCATGGTTGCATTAATGCACTGGCTTCTTAACATGGCAACGAGGGTGTATTCATGGCATTGTTTGTCTTAATTATGTGTTCACACAGCAAGAAGCGTGCATAATGACTCCCCAAATGATCAAGGTTTGCACCGTCAGAGCTTGGATCAGGCTTTTCGTGTCATTGTAAAAACCATTTAAAACGATAAACATATCATCAAAGCTAACAGTGGCTGCAACCATTTATGAATGTTTTGTTCTTCAACGGTTAAAAGCTAGCATCTTTAGAGTGGTGTAGGAATGAGTCCTAAAACCTGGTAATGAGTCAGCATTTTACAACTACGTCTGGTGGTTAATACAAGCTGAAGAGATTTTACCTCTATGAAAAAAAAATGTCAGTAAATACCCAACTTGTTAATTTAAAAACAGCGGTTGCCACCAAGTGTCTAAATGAGACGACTACAAAGTCAAAGATGGCGGCATTTTCAAGATGGCCTCCAATGATGGCTTGGACATTTCATTTTTTGTTTCAAATCATAAACTTTTGACCACGAAGAAACCAAATTCAGACGTCAGGAATTACTCAGACGTGAGATTTTCCTTTTGAACAAAACGTCTAAGTTACAAACGTTTGTCTGCCACTGATCATCCTTTTTGCTAAATACCTAAATCCAATGGAAAAAACAATTGGCTTTTTGTCGAGGGAACCCTTGCGATGCTAACTTCGGCATCTTCCCACAAAGTTACTTCGTCACTGCACCACTCTATAGGATAAACCATATCAAATCTGTAGATAGAAATGCGTCAATACCAATCATATCTAGTGATGAAACATTTTTCACGAGTATGTCACTTGTTACCAGTAGGAGGTAATGGTGTTTCTTGTTGTGTGGACACTTAAAATTCTCAATTGCCATGTTTGATTGGAGTTTCCCAATGTGCAACAAACATTAACAACGTGATAGCTTTAATATATCATTCTCATGCATGAAGGCTTTCCGTATTAAGACATGGGGTCGTACAAAGGGAGGTGAAAGGTTTCTTGTGAAGTGCATTAGATAATCGCCTGAAAATCTGTGCATTTTCTTAAATTTGTTTGATATTTTAAAATGCAGCCGTAGTGATTGGTGGGAGCTGTTTTCTATTAGATATAGGGGGACTACAGGAGTGTCCAAAACTCTACATGCCTCTGTTAAAAACGTGATTTAATTTAAATTCTGTACTCGTAAAAGGAATTACCACTAAGTTCACACTGTATGCTGATGACACTGCTGTTTTGTGTTTGGATGGGTTTGGGGTGGGGGAAGGGTTTCTGATTAGGTTTCGATGTTTTCCAGTCTGATGTCTGATCAAACTATTAACTGACTTGTTATCGTTCATTTATGAATCACAGAGCAGATGCCACTTCACGTGTAGGACTGAGATTGTGTGATTTGTATTTTACAGCGAGCGCTATTTCGCTTCGGTGGCTGCTTCCATTTTCAATCAAACTTCAAAATATGTCTTACCAATAAATAAATAGATCTGAATACTGTCTTCTTCCTGAAGGGTGCGTTCACACCGGATGATAAGTGGAGATTTCAGTTTAACCGCGGCATCATTTGTGTTTACTCCAACTAGACGTGCTGGCGAGGAGGCGGGGCTTAAGTCAATGTAGACAACAAATTGAACATATTTCGCCGTAGTAAATACGGATATAAATGAGTAAATCCATGAATTAATGCTTTAGCAAGTTTTTCCACAAGAAGGCAGGCAAACACTTTAAACATCTAGAGTTTGGATCAATCAGGCTAGGCTAAGCTAACGTTGACTTGACATGTTACGTGCCGCGCGAAAAATTAGCTTAGCATCCAGTGTGAACGCACCATAAGGAATTCATATTTACTTTGTTCCATTTTTTTCTGGTAGGAACAGGAGTGTTTCTCCAAATGTTTGACCTACCATTCATTCCCAAAAAGATACAAAAAAAACAACATTCATGTAGATATTCAGGAAAGATCAAGATTCAATTTGGATGAATTAGCATAATGTTAGTTTAGGCTACTGTATGTGTCATTTTATTTTATATTAAATGCCCAGTAAAGTGGGAAAAAAAAAGGTCTCACAGTGTAGTTTCTCCACATTAAATGAATTTGTCTTGTCTCTGGTTCATGCGTTGCTAAATGATGTGACTGCATCTCAGGTAGAATGCAAAGTTTTAGGCCCCACCAAATCACATAAAAGCAAGTACAATGCATCCTCATCAAGTGCAACACATTATTTTAGATCCAAGAGGCAAACATTTGGTGGTATTTTGCATATATGTTGTACATGTTTCCTGTATTTTTCTTAATATTTGGTGCACTGTAAAAGATGTGTTGAGTATTGCTTTGTGTTGACATAGGTCATAAAGAGTACACTGTTTATTGGAATGAAGCAGGATCAGAAAACTTGTTGTGGCTGTACTTCTACTACTACTTCTACTTCTTCTTCTGTCACTATCCTCGCACCACCGCCTTTGGAAGCACGTTTGAATCCCGAAAAAGTTCTGATAGTGTCACCAGTCATTGTTTTTAGATTGATTCCTTTATGTCTCTCTGCTGTTCTTGGGAAATGTTAATGTGTATTAATGGAGAAAAAGGAGTTCCACATTCCCATACACATTTTGTATTGGTTCATAAATAGACATTTTTACAAAACAATGAAGAGTTCTTGTCTTAATAAAAAAGAAAAGATATTAATGTCCAAAATAATCAGTGTTGGTATTGTTTTTTACTCTAAATGTTAATGTTTTACGATGATGCACAACAGGTTTGTAGAGGAAATGTCGCCGTACCGGGAATTAGCATCTCCCTGGTTCCCTCCACCAAAATCCAATGGTATTTTCCCATTGGATTTTGGGTTATTACAGAAAATAATCTCTGTGTCAAACAAACGTTTATGACACTTACACATTTAGGGATAATCTCCACATATTAGCACCTCTTTGTGATTTTTTTAAGTAAAAAGCTAACGTTAGGCTATAAAGGAACTACAGCACAGTCACATGACTTCAAGTTACCATCGCTAAGCTAAAGGTGGCTAATGTTGGGCTATAAAGGATCCACAGCACGGTCACATGACTTCACGTCACCACCGCTAAGCTAAAGGAGGCTAATGTTGGGCTATAAAGGAACTAGAACACGGTCACATGACTTCACGTCACCACCGCTAAGCTAAAGGAGGCTAATGTTAGGCTATAAAGGAACTACAGCATGGTCACATGACTTCACGTCACTACCGCTAATCTAAAGGAGGCTAATGTTGGGCTATAAAGGAACTACAGCATGGTCACATGACTTCACGTCACCACCGCTAAGCTAAAGGAGGCTAATGTTGGGCTATAAAGGAACTAGAACACGGTCACATGACTTCACGTCACCACCGCTAAGCTAAAGGAGGCTAATGTTAGGCTATAAAGGAACTACAGCATGGTCACATGACTTCACGTCACTACCGCTAATCTAAAGGAGGCTAATGTTGGGCTATAAAGGAACTACAGCACGGTCACATGACTTCACGTCACCACCGCTAAGCTAAAGGAGGCTAATGTTAGGCTATAAAGGAACTACAGCATGGTCACATGACTTCACGTCACTACCGCTAATCTAAAGGTGGCTAACGTTGGGCTATAAAGGAACAACAGCACGGTCACATGACTTCACGTCACCACCGCTAAGCTAAAGTTGGGTAATGTTAGGCTATAAAGGAACTACAGCACGGTCACATGACTTCACGTCACTACCGCTAATCTAAAGGAGGCTAATGTTGGGCTATAAAGGAACTACAGCATGGTCACATGACTTCACGTCACCACCGCTAAGCTAAAGGTGGCTAATGTTGGGCTATAAAGGAACTACAGCACGGTCACATGACTTCACGTCTCCACCGCTAAGCTAAAGGTGGCTAACGTTGGGCTATAAAGGAACAACAGCACGGTCACATGACTTCACGTCACCACCGCTAAGCTAAAGGAGGCTAATGTTGGGCTATAAAGGAACTACAGCACGGTCACATGACTTCACGTCACCTCCGCTAAGCTAAAGGTGGCTAATGTTGGGCTATATTAGCTATAAGGTATATAGTATTGGTCGGATCTCAAAACATTTTCACATGTCGCCCTAATCTTCTTTGGTAAATATACACCATCTCATTCAGATGTTCAGTTTAAATACACTTTTTAAATATCTTGTCTTACTTATTCCTTGGTGAATGCTTCTTTTTCTATCTGAAGTGAACCTTGGCAGGGGTCGATGTCATGAAATCTTTACCACATGCATAAACCCGTGTGAACACGCAGTACAAAGCAGGCGCTCCTAATTAACACAAATATAGGGTAATAGCTTGCGGAGCACCATGAAAGCCTGAATAAATTCGACAGGGTTTATATTCTGGAAATCAATCTCTGCTTTCCTGCGCAGTGAACCCTTTTTTAACTAACATCTTAAATATATCAAAGTATTGATTCCCAACAAAGCAGATGTGGGGCAAGCTATCTGTCATGGAAACGTGTATTCCTACCATTCATATTAATGCTCATCATGAGTCAAGCTGTACTTTGGACGTTAACACACCCATAATATTCGGCATTCAGTCGATGACTTGAGGAAGATATTATCTTTTTAATTACATTTTCACCTCGGGCTCTCATTATAGCTCAAGTGCAGTACATAATGAGCCAACACCTTAAATAAGTAAAGGTGATACCACTATTGATTAAGACCCGAGGCGAGATATCAGTCATATAAAATCTGAGTTCATGCGTAATGTGCATTCGTTGCTCTGTTATGGACCCATTACTCAATATCCTCAAATAACTACGATGGAAAGAAATGCAATTCATTACAAGCTAACTGACTCCAAATGGCAGCACTTAATAAAGCCGGAGTCATTTCGCCGTGAGTGTCCTTGGTGTTTTGTCTACAGTAATGAAAAGGTCAGTGATGCGCTCTTGTCTTTATGTGTTAACCTTGCCAGTTTAAAAAGGGTAAAGCGGCAGTATCCTGAAACTGAATTTATCCATTACATGAGCACGGCAGCTGCATTCTTTGCCTCGTCTTTTGTTCCTAATCTAATGAGCTCTTGTCCTTGTTATCACTCACATGTTATCCTCAGATTGGCTGTTTAGCATCTACCCCAGAGGCCGTTAAGATTAGAAAGATGTTCCACAAAGCAAACCTCAACAGGTGAAGTGATTAGGAGTGATTTATTGATTGTGAGATTATCAGAAGCAGGAAATAGCAGACCCATAAACTCTTGAGGTAATGGCGACCCTTAAGGGCACTCAGGAAATTAGGCCACCTGTAAAGGGCATACAAAAAGCCCCTTGCAATCAAACCAGGCCCCCTATTTTATCATAAACTCGTTAAATACAGTCACTACAATTATATCAGCATGTCCTTGGAAACACGTTCTTACACGACCAATTTGTCATGCCAATTTTGATTTGTTAGGAAACACACCGAGGCGGGATTTGTGAGACTCCATCCTGACTCTTGCACTTGGTTAAGCGGAGATTTTTTGGGGGGTTTTAGTCAAAACTAGCGCCTTTTTCTGAGTGCCAGCGTCATTTTCCAATCTATTTAAATGAGAACATGCATGCCGTCTGAAGAACTCGAGAAAAAGCACTTTACCCAACGTCTTTTTTCCGAGCACTCTGCCTATATATTAGTGCGTCTGCTTCGAGTTGAAAATATCTCAACTCTTCAGAAAAGTTCCCGTGACGTCACTGTAGAAATTGGAGAACAAAATTAGTTTCCTAACGAATAACAGTAATTATAGTAATATTATTTATTAGCTTGTAACTTAGCATGCGTCTCTGTCCTACCTCCAACCTCTCCTGTAAATATGGTCATTTCTGGCTTAACAATGCTAATCTCATTGGATTTGTATTTAAAGTCAATGGCAGTGAATAGAGGTGGGAATTACGCACCACTTTAAATACTTTTATTCAAAGATGTGTAGAGGTTTGTTCACTCACCACCTTATAAAGTGAACAAAGTAGCATCAACATTGAGAGATATGTATGGATCATCGTCCTTCAAAATACATTTGATATAAGACTAACAGTTTACCTAAACCATGGTGTTGTCCTGCTGCTCTTGTATGTGCTTGTTTTTTCTGTTGTAATCAATTGTTCTGAAACATGTCCCCTTTTGTCACAGTTTCTGAAAACAACTTGAAAGCAGGCATTGTTTTAATTGAATACATTTCTGTCACAAAGGTGCTTGTTTTTTCGTTCCAACATAACTTCCATTCAGTCACGACTCCTTTCTCTTTGAGTAGTCATAGTTATTTGTGAAATCAGAGCAGCAGCCACTTACCGGTTAAAATATAACCTCTGTTTGTTTGACTCCAGCAACAAATTGCTCGGTGCCGTTGAGCATTTGTTATGATTGTTTTGTTTTCCACTGCAATTTGTGCTCAGTGTGTGATTTTGGCTATTATTATACTTCGCAACAAAAGCTCTGAGTAGGGGGCTATTCTTTATTTTCTTCATTTTTCATATAAAACATACCAAATCAGTTTGATTAGTCCACTTCAATTTGATTATCAAACTGGCTGGACCCAATTTAGTCACATAGTTTACTTACGGTATAAACTCTGCAGGAGTGTTTGAAGGTCAGAAGGTCACCACCCAGAAACCATAAAGGTCTGAACATCTTATAGCGATCCATCGTGCAGAAGTTGAGATGTTTTCCAGGAGAAGTGCTCGAGGCATAAAATGAAGTGTCAAGGGATCACCAGAGTTGGTAGGTGCGATCCTCTGGGGCTCTTGGAAGTCAATGTTTCCAAGAAATAACTCCAACATTTGAGATATTTCAGTCTACACCAATGTGATGCACTGACTAACCGAAAACAACAGGTAACGAGCACTCAAATGTGATGTGATAAGTTGGAGAGCCAATAGAAGCACACATGTTACATGGTGATGTCACTATGTTACGGAAGTATCCACTTTTTTTTCTCTCACTTTTTTAAAACTATTTTCTTTTTGTATTACTTTTAATATAGTATATTTTAATATTGTTTTAATAGTGTCTGCTTATCTGTATTATTGTGTTGCATTGTTGGAGAAGCCTGCGACCTAAGATTTTCAATGACATAATTACTCTGTAGCTATGTTAGTTTGACAATAAAGAACCTTGAACCTTGAAGTAAACAAAGGAGTCCAATGGAGGCGTTTCAGGCCCCTTTAATCGTTTCATGTTGAAAATGGAGCTGCTGTAATGTATGAAAATGTTCATCATACCTTTCGGGTTATTGATAGCTTTGTTTTTCAAAATCATGTCAAAATTTAAATCACTGTGTTTTAGAAGGTCTCGATAGGTGAAGAGTCTTGGTTTCTGGCTGTAGTTCATCTTCTGCTCGGTAGAGCTTCACCAGGTGTAAAGCTTGGGTTTCTTTTGCCTCTGGGTTTAATTTATCCGTGTCTTCGGGGCCCAGGAGGCTGTGGTGAAGACCCCTCAGAGGAAATGTGTGTTTTTGGCTCCATAAAGACTTTTTACTGGACGTGGCAGTGGGCCGAATGACCCGACAAGCACTTTCAACTCAGAGATGTTTTATTTTGTTGCTGTAGGCTGTAGGGTACAGGAAGAGGCCCGAAGGCTGTGCTTCTGATGTTAGGGCAAGACACTTGAGTACTCAGATCTTATACTTCAGGAGAAGAAGTACAAATACTAGGGTCTGAAAATACTCCTTGAATACGACAGGA